CGAGGGGCCCACGAAGGGCTGCAACGGGCCCACGACGGGCAGCGAGGGGGCCACGAAGGGCAGCAACGGGGCCACGGAGGGCAGCGAGGGAGCCACGAAGGGCTGCAACGGGTCCACGAAGGGCAGCGAGGGGGCCACGAAGGGCTGCAATGGGGCCACGAACGGCAGCGAGAGGGCCACGAAGGGCTGTAACGGGGTCACGAAGAGCAGCGAGGGGGCCACGAACCGCTGCAATGGGGCCACGAAGGGCAGCGAGAGGGCCACGAAGGGCTGTAACGGGGTCACGAAGAGCAGCGAGGGGGCCACGAAGGGCTGCAATGGGGCCACGAAGGGGAGCGAGGGGGGCCACGAAGGGCTGCAACGGAGCCACGAAGGGCAACGAGGGAACCACGAAGGGCTGCAACGGGGCCACGAAGGGCAGCGAGGTGTCCACGAAGGGCTGCAACGGGGCCACGAAGGGCAGCGAGGTGGCCACGAAGGGCTGCAACGGGGCCACGGAGGGCAGCGAAGGGGCCACGAATGGCTGCAATGGGGCCACGGAGGGCAGCGAGGGGTCCACGAAGGGCTGCAACGGGGCCACGACGGGCAGCGAGGTGGCCACGAAGGGCTGCAACGGGGCCACGGAGGGCAGCGAAGGGGCCACGAATGGCTGCAATGGGGCCACGGAGGGCAGCGAGGGGGGCACGAAGGGCTGCAACGGGGCCACGAAGGGCAGCGAGATCCCGATTCCTGAGTAAGCTGTGAGGGAGTCCAAGGCGTGAGCGCGACTCTTGGTTGACTGAGTGTCGCGAGCGCTGCGCGTTTGAGTACATTGCGGGGAATTCCAAAGCGAGAGCGCGATTCTGGAAAACATTGCGCGACTCTACAGCGCCGAAAGAGCGATTCTTCTATGACTTGTAAGGAAGTTCCGAGCGTGAGCGCGATTCCTGAGTAAGATGCGAGGCAACTTCAGGCTGGAGAGGATTTTTTTTGGTTAAATTGTGATGAAATCTTGAGCGGGAACCGACGTTGTTGTGTTAGCCCGGAGGCCAAGGGCACAGTTTGACCTTTATGATACCACTTCAGTTGAAAAACGCAATTGTCACCGGAGTCGGGGATCAGCCGTAATTATTCTTCAATGCCCAGCAGCAAAAACACCAACAACAAGAACAGCAACGCTACCGCTCGATGTCTCCTCCTGTTATACTCAAGACCAGGGCTCTTGCTCACCGACGAAAGCCGGCTTTCCAACAAAACCAGCGCTCGTGCTCAATATTCTTTGTATCTTACTCAGGACCAGCGCTCCCGCTTCGGCGCCGCAAACGGCCCACGGCCCCCCTGCAAACAACGACGCTCCCGTTCGATATTCTTCCGCTGTTACGCAAGGTTCCCCGAGGCCCTGGTGCCGATCCTCGAGAATGCAGCATTCATTGTCGGAGGTCTGCGCTGGAGGCGCCCTGGCGCGCTCCGAGTGCCAGGGCGGCCCTAGAGCCTGCGGCGGCGACCCCGTCGTCGTCGTCGTCGTCGTCGTCGTCGTCGTCGTCGTCGTCGTCGTCGTCGTCGTCGTCATCGTCCTCCTCCTCTTCCTCCTCCTTTCCCCTCGTCTTCCCTCCTCCCTCCTCCCCCTCCTCCTCCTGCTCCTTCCTCTTCTTCCCTCCCCGAGGCCCGAAAGCTCCTCCGATCCAAGCGTCTCCCAAAAATGCATTGAGGCCTTGTACGCACCAGGGGGTTCGGGACGGTCGCGCACATTTATGGCCGGTTACCAGTTTGACCCCGCACCTCGGCCATCCTCCTGGCCCCGCACCTCGGCCATCCTCGCGGCCGCCGCGAAATTTCGCACCAAATCGGCATTCAAATTCACTCGCCCAGACTGCCAGGACCCCCGTGTGCGCCGCAAAGATGCAGACCCCCCTGGGGCTCACAAGTGAGGCTTCCTTCAAGATGGCCCGAAGCCCTCCAGCTCAGCTTGAAAACCTTTCCCAGGGGCCCTCATGTTCCCCACAGGGCTTCTGAAGTTTCTCTGAGAGGCTCTGGGGGCTCTCCAAGGGGCTCCAGAGGCTGTCCAAGGGGTTCCGTGGGCTCTCCCAGAGGTTGTGGGGCTTCTCCCAGAAACGTTTTGGTCCATTCGGGCGTGATGGTACTAGAAGCAACGCGTGGGCAGAGCGATAGCGAAGGCGTTGTGCCATCCAGGCTGGAGATGTTGAAATGCCTCGGAAGAGGTGTTATCAAAACTTCCTCGGGTGGGATATCAGGATGAAAGGAATATTGGACCCTCCAATGCAATAACATATCCCCTATGAGTGGGGGAGGTATCATGATGGGTGCATGCTGCACATCGAGTCATAGAGCATTCGGGTAAACTGATTGATCTTTCACTCTTGAATGATAGTTATTGTTGATCACCCCTCATCGGTGCATACGCATGGTGTTTTTCAATTGAAGTGCCCCCCTCGGGTCTCTCATTTTGCAGGGGAAGTTTGGTGTCTCCAAACTGTGTTGCTGGCCCTGGTTTACAACAACAGCGGCTGCCGCATAATATTCCCTCACATTGTATTCTAAGATCGCGGTCTCGCGCGGGACTTCCTCACAATGTATGCAGGAATTGCCCTCTCGCGTGGGACTTTCTCGCAATTAATTCAGGCGCCGCGCCGTCGACTCTCATGAATCGCGCTTTCGCTTTGTTTCTTTCTCACGATTTACTTAGGAGTCGCGCTTTCGCTCGAGACTTCCTCGCGTTTCATGCGTGACTCACGCTTCGGGAGCCCGCCTGCTCGACCTGGCAACCTGGGCCTGCCTTCCCGACCCGCCCGCTGCGGTCTGCCCGCCCGATCTGCCCGTCTGGTTCTGCCACGTGTTTTCTGCTCCTAGCCCCCCTTCTGCTAATTTCTCTCGTGTTCCATCCTTGTCTCTCCCCCTTCCATCTGTCCTATCTTCCCTCGTTTTAAGGGGCTGCACGTGGGAGGCAAGATGTATCCCCGAAGGGGTACGAGCGAAGACGAAGATAGCCGGTACCGAGGGTTTCGGATATACGCGCTGAGTGGCACGCGAGCAGAGAAGAACGAACAGTCTTGAGGGCCCGATCGCTAAAGGCGGGCTCGAGGGCGACGAGTAGTGGGTTCGCAGGCCGGCAAAGCACCAATCGATGATGACTTTTGGTGTAGGCTTGACTTTGACCACCCCTCCTCGACGCTTGTTTCCTCCAGCTTTCGTCCACTGGCACAGCATGACATCCACGCCGCCTGGAGCAAAGGCCGCTTCACTTTCTGTGGGCTTCACGGATGTTGGGCGGAATCACAGCCTCGCGATTTGTGCATGGAGTGCCAAGTCGCTTTGTGTGGCCAGACGGCCATCATATGGCATTTAAGTGTGAAGCATCGGAGAGGTAGGTTGAGACAAGGCAAGCCCCCCCCCCCACAAAAAAAAGATAAGAACGAATAGTTCTGACACGATTGTTGTTGTTGTCATTGTCGTTGTCGTCGTCGTTGTTGTTGTTCCCCACATTCAAAGTGGGTTTCTTGTTTTCTCTGGATACCCCGTGCCCGCGCAGGAACACAGGAACAGGAACAACCCCTCTCTTCTCACTCACTCACTCACTCACTCACTCACCACATACACTCACTCACTCACACACGCACACACTCACATCATCATCACCACCACAACATCACCATCACTTACCGTGGGGGCGCACATCAAGAAACCAGATGCTTTTCGTCAGGGTATCCTGGGTCTCTTTGCTCCGCGCGCTGCGCGGTGACTTCCCGCAGCCGTTGAATGTTCTGATGCGTTCAGGCTGCTCTGGGGTTCCCCTCCGGTGCACCTCGCGCGCGGGTTTTCAGCGTTGGGTTTTTTGTGAGGGGTTCTTGCGGCCGCGGCCGCATTGTACACACTCACTCACTCGCTCTCTCACTCACATTCACTCAGCATCACCACTCCTTTACTCACGCACTCACCCACCACCTACCACCCACTCACTCACACACATCACTGTCAGCATCACCATCATCGTATTCATTCACTCACTCAATGAGCTGATACAGACCTCATGAGCTTTTCTCCCTTCGCACACGCACTCACTCAATGAGCCACACACCATTACCATCATAACACCATCAACCTCATCATCATGCACTACACTATCATCATCATTCACTCAATCACTCACACCATCATCACCACCACCCTCATCATCATCACTCGCATTGTCGTCATCACCATCATATCCACTCACATCACAAGCAGCAACATCATTACTCACATCGCCGTCATCATTCGCATCATCATCATCATCATCATCATCATCATCATCATCACCATCACCATCACCATCACCATTACCATCACCATCACCATCACCATCATCATCATCATCATGATCTTCACCACCATCATCATCATGATCATCACCCTCATCATCACCATCATCATCATCATCATCATCATCATCATCATCATCATCATCACACTCACGCGCACACATTCATTTTGAGGACGCATCAGGCGGGAGGTTCGCCTGTGAGTGAATTGCGAGGAAGTCTCAGGCGGGAGCCCCTTCCCTATGGGGCCCGCAGTTCGTATCACTAATCCGAGCGGGTCATCGGCCTCCTGCAACTGTCGTCATTTTTGGGCCCCTGAGGCCTGAATATGAAGGAACAGAGGACACGCCCTGCTTCTTCGAAGCGTCCGCGGAGCGCGTCTGCTTCAACGAGTGGCCGTGCGGCTGCTGGCACACCCCCGCCGGCCTCCCAGGGCCCGGCTATCGACTTCGAGACCTACCTCCTGTCCTTCCGCCACAACTTCTCGCGCGCGGAGCGGCAGGTGTCCGACGTCGACGCCGCCTTCTTCAAAGACACTGTCTCCTCGCACCTCGACTGGCTCACCGCCCACGCCGGCGCCACGAGGTGGAGACGCAGCGACGGCAGTTCGAAGGGACTGTCAAGGACAAGTGCGAGCAGTACTACCTGGCCGGCGACGTGTTCGCCTGCCCTTGCGGCTGGCGGGTCACAGGCCTGCCCGGGAAGGCAGCGAGAGACACTGGGCTGGGTGCCAGCCGGGATCCAGATGGACCCCCGAGAACACGCGTCAGATCAGGCGACGCCTCGACCACAGCCGGATCGCGGCAGTGAAGGTCCGAGAGGCGAAGGCTTGGAACCTCTACGAAAAGCGGCGTGCTGCCCTCCCGGCGCGCCTCCGCAACATCACCCACGAGCTCAACCCGGACACGGCGACCAAGAGCAAGATCGGACCCAACATGAGACTTGTGTACGCCTGCAAGCACTGCAGCTCCTGCCTGCGCACCTCGGCCGCGTTCTGGTCACCCTGTCGGGGCGCGCCCAAGGACGAACGTATGGCCTCCCTTGACTACAAGGCGGAAGTCCGCGACGTCTTCGTCAAGAACAAGATGGTAGACAAGAGGACCACGTACACCAACATTCGGGACAGTCCGTCCTTCCAGGAGCAGAAAGACGCCAGCTGGGGGTACTACAAGCCACGTGCCCCGGGCATCATCCACAAGGCCCGGTCGGCTGGTCGGGCTCTGGTGGCCCCTTGAACGGCATGGCGGCCTCTCCCGTTGCGCGGCCAGCGCATTGGAGAGGCCGCCAACCCAGGGCCGCGGCGGACGTGGCGGAAGAAACACATGGAGCAGCAGGTGCCTGCCGCGGGCGGCCTGCGAGCCTGGTGCTGCAACACCAATGGGCTCACGGATAAGAAAGGCAAGGGCAAATGGGACATGATCCGGGGACAGCTGGAGGCTACCACGCCCATGTCGGCTGCATCGTTGACACCAACCTTGACGAGGCACGCACAAAGAGTTTCGAGAAGCTGGTTGCGACAGTTTTTCCTTCATTTCTTGCTGTGCGTGCGCCCTCGGATGGCCGCCGGGGCGGTGTGGCATTGTTTTGGCCTGATGAGTTGCGGAAGGATCCGTGGATGTGGTGCTCCGACTTTGCGGGCAGGGTGGTCTCGGGAGTCTTGCACGTCAGCGGCTCTGACATGATCATCATCGGCACGTACATGCACGTCAAAGACCCGCACGCTCGCAGGAAGCTGGCGGACGCTATCGCGGAGCGAGTGGCCGCTTCCGACGTGCCGGCCCTTGTGGTCGGGGACTGCAGCGCGGAACCGTACGACGGTGAGCTCTCGCCGTGACTTGGCCTCCTGGACTATGCTCACGAGAAGACTCAACCTCCTACTTTTTTCTACACCCACGGGGACAGGATGATCGACCTCGCCATGGTCAGGCACCTTGCCGTCGACTTCGTCTCCCCGGACACCAACATCAGCGACAATGCCGCCGTGGTGGTGCAGGTCCAGCTCGAGCCCCAGGCCGTCGTGCAGACGATCCGGGAGAACCACCCTCTGGACATCCCTGACGACTGGGAGGAGGAATGGCGATCCGCAGCTGCATCCAAAGCAGCGGCTTGGGAGCGAGCACTTCGAGAAAATGACGTCGACCAGTTATGGGCGATATGGTGCGATTGCCTGGAGGCTTCTTGCGGGGTCCCAGAAGATCAGCGTACACGGCATCTTGGCATTGTTCTGAAGAAGTGGTAGAGGACGGGGCGCCCACGGGCACCGGATGTGTGTAGTGGAGCGACGACTACACCGAGTCCTGCGCCGCATCACCGAGCAGCGATTCAAAGACAGGGCGGGGCAGGATCACCCTGACCTTGTCCAGAGCATCGAGCGGAGCCTCCAGAGCCTCATCGCCGACGGGGTTCTGCACAAGGACACCGACCTCCTCGACTACCCGGCGCTCGGGAACACCTTGAAGGCCATGCTGGGCAAGATGGGTAAGGAGAACGCCGACGAGCGCATCAAGCACTGGCGCGCACGGGCACAGGGTGGCAGTCTCAAGGCCATCTTCGACTACGTCAAGGACAAGCCCTTCACTGCCGCTCCTGCGGTATCGGCGGGAGGACTCGGGCCGCAGACGCAGCCGACCGCGGACCCTACCCGGTTGGTGGCCGAGGCTGTCGGGCAGTGCAACGCCAAGCAGCGCGAGAGGCTGGACGACTGGCGCCAGAACACCTAGTTCGAGATGGTCCGCGGCTCGATCGAGGCTCTGCCGGCGCCCTCGGCGGAGTGGGCCTTCGGCGACGACCTGGGGCTCCTCCGCGGCGCCCTGCGGGCGATCGCTGGCGCCGCCAGCGGCCCCGGCGACCTCGAGGCGGGGCTGCTCGCCAAGGCACCCCTGGATGCCATCGCCTCGCTCGGCGCCCTGGGGGACGCCGTCCGGGCCAGCGGCAAGTGGCCCGACGCCCTCCGCACAGCCCTAACCACGATGATTCCCAAGTTTCGTGATGGCGCACTCACAGAGGATCTGCGGCCCATCACAGTCGGCGCCGCCGTCTTCAGGGCTTTCCAGAAAGTGATCATTGGACGGTACAAAAGCTGGGCTGAAGCTGCACAGCCCACCAATGCGATCCACAACCTGCTGAACATGGATCTGGAGATAGAGGCCGCCCGGGCTTCTGGCGCACCATTCATTGCTCGGCAGTCTGACCTGTCGAACTGCTTCACCAGGCTGCAGCCGGAGCTGGCCCACCGCCTCGCGATGGCCTTCGGCATGCACGAAGTGGACAGCAGCTTCTTGTTCTTGTCGGCCGTCGGCACTTCCGCGGTCGTGAAGGTCGGGGGGTACGCCTCAGATCCTATCTGCTCAGAGCGTGGTATGCCGCAAGGGTTCCCTGCGTCGCCGCTGGGCGCCGCCCTCTACGCCGGGGCCCATGCCCGCCGGCTGGCCGCCCTGCACAATCCAGATACGTTCTCGTTCCGCACGTACGTGGACGACAGGGCCCTCACCGCCAGGGACATCGGCGCCGTGGCCGCCATCGAGGGGCCCCTCAAGGAGCTGGACATCGCGAGTGGCCAGAAGGAGGGCCCCAGCGAGGAGGAGTGGGCTGGCTTCAACCTGCCGCCGCACCTCCTGAAGGAACGCGAGAGGGCTGGCAAGCCTCTCCGGGGACACTTGGACCGCCTCGGGGTTCGCTTTGACCTCGCAGGCACGGCTCCGCCTTCGGAGGCCCCCCGGGCTGCCCGGCGCAAGGGGGGGCTCTTCAACCGCTTGGACAGGATCCGCCGCGTGTGCGGAGGAGCCCAGCTGGCCATCAACCTGGTCTTCAGAATCGTCCTCTCCACCATGAGCCCCCTTCGCAGGGATGGGCCGCGGTGCTCCATGAAGGCAGCGGACGTCAGCGCCATGCGCGCCCGCGTAGAGCAGGCCCTCTTCACCAGGCAGAGGCGCACCACCTGGCGGCGCCGAGGCGCCGCCTGGTGCCTCCTCGACAAGGGTTGGAAGGTCGAGCCCATGGGCGTCATTTTCTCCAGCTTCATCAGCTTCTTGCGAAACACCAGGAATGGCCCCCTCCAGCCGCTCGTCCGCCAGGCGTGGAGGTCAATGTAAGGGGGGCCGCCGCTCCTCGAGACTTGGATCGGCCGGGTGCGCGCCGTCTTCGACGACGTGGGCTGGCGCTGCGCCACCAGCGACCCGTGCGAGCCGACCTTCGCACGGGCACCGTTCCCCATCGGATGATCCAAGGGCAAGCTGGAACACTACGTCAGCGAGGCGTGGCGCAGCTTCATGATGACGGACGCTAGCACCACCGCGGTTCGCAAGGGGCCAGTGGACTTGCCGAGCCTGGATGTCAAGACACTCCGGGACTTCGCAAACAAGCAGTCCAAGTTGCAACGCACATGGGCAGGGCGGTGTGCGTGGTCGGGGCTGAGCCTAGCCCGGATCGCCTTCGCCGTATACATTCTGATGTACCTCATGACTGTGAGGGGTGTGGCGTCCCAGCCACCGCTCGACACCTCCTGTGGGAGTGCGAGAACACACGAGAGCAGCGGGCCCGGACAATAATCCACCCGCACACTCTGCTAAACATGGTGCCTGACAGCGAGCGGGCAGCCATGCTACTCAATGGGTGGTTTCGTGCAATCTGGGATTTTCCAGCGGGTGTTTCTCAAGCTGATTGGGGTGAACACCATCATCATATTCGTCATCTTTCTTTTCGCATCCTCAGGTACAGAATGCAGATCCTGCAGCCGTACTACAACATCCTGGCAGGCCGCTGCGCCTTTTAGCTCCCGCTCGAGTGGACCAAGGCCAGAGTCAGCCTGGTTCACGCGCAGAAGGAGCAGCAATCCGGCCGTGTCATCGGCCCCCTGCAATTGCCGTCGCGTTTGGGCCCCTGAGGCTTGAATATGGAAGTATCCAGCGGGAGCTTCGTCTGTGAGTGAATTGCGAGGAAGTCTCAGGCGGGGCCTTCCTCCCTATGGGGCCCGCAGCTCATGTGAGTAATCTGAACGGGTCGTCGGCCTCCTGCATCTGTTATCTTTTTTGGGCCCCTGAGGCCTGCAGACGGAGGAAGTATCAGGCGGCAGCCTCGTCCGCGAGTGAATTGCGAGAAAGTCAAGTCTCGGGCGGGAACCCCCTCCTATGGGGCCCGCCGCTCATGCGAGTAATCCTGGCGGGTCATCGGCCTCGTGCAACTGTCGTCACATTTGGGTCCCTGAGGCATGAATCTGTGGGAAGTATCAGTCGGGGGGCCTCTGCTGTGAAGTGAATTGCGAGGAGCGGAACCGCCGACGGTGGAGATTCAGCGCGCCATCAAGGTCTTCTCTCAGATCCCCTGCGTCTTTGAGCTGAAGGGCGCGAAACGCTTCGAGCCCGCGGGCCCGCTGATCATGTTCCTGGGCTGCGTGCGCGAGGGCAAGCCCTTCCCACCAGAGGTATGGTCCGCTCGGGAGAATACGTTGGCCTCGGATGCCCGCGGCGTCCTGGGCCCGCGGCGCCAGCGCGAGAAAATGTGGCTCGGCTACGGCGTGGGCATCTACTGGGAGAGGCTGGCGAAGTGGATAAACGCGCGCGCTCGTCGCGATGCGCGGCGTCTGAGCGCGCCCCTCGTCTTCTTGCAGGCCGTGGACGAGTGCGACGCGATTCAGGGCGATCCCGACGCCGGTCGGCGGCTGCTGAACGCCCCGAACATGCGCAAGACGGGCGACATCCACGGCGCATTGCCGGCCCATGTCGGCGCGGAGGTGCGGCTCACGGCGGTGCAGGAAGAGCTGATCAGGAAATTGAGGCTCGCGCGGGAGCAACGGGCCACCGTGTCTTCCATCGAGTTCCACCCCAATGACGAGCAGCGTTGCTAGGAGTGCTCGCAAGGCCAGCTCTTTCGCACCCGCTTCCCACCGCGGGGGATCTGGCTGCAGGCGCACAGCTTGGAGAAGTCTCCGATCTACCGAGAGGTCGCCGAGCTGCTGAGACAGGGCGCCGAAGGCGCCGATGACGACGGCCAGGCCGAGGCGCGGGCGCGGAGCTTGCTCATGATCAGGCCCAGCGAGCAGGAGTTCACGCGGCAAAGCTCGAGACCGCGCGCCGTGCGCCGCTCGGGGTTCACTATGGCGCGCGCGCCCAACCTCGCCCCCGCGCTGTCGCAGGACCAGTCGCTGCGCATGGGCGTCGCCGTCGACTGCGCGACGGACGAGGGCGCTGGCCACGCGGGCACGTTGGACAACCAGTGGTTGCTGCGCCTTTGCGCCATTTTCTCCCGCGCCGCGCGCGCGCGGAACGCGCGGGTCCTGCGGCCGCCGCCGCGAGGCTCCTTGGGGCGAGGGCCGCCGGGATCCTTGCGGAGGGCGCCCTTAGAGTTCGACGCCAGGGTGGGGGGCTCCAGGGCAGAGGCGGAGCAGCTCGCGGTGGGGCTGGGTTTCGTGCTGCCCCCCGCCTGAGCGTGGCGGCGCCCC